TCCTCCTGATAATGCAAAGCGATGGGTGTTACGCCTAGATGAGAGGAGTTGTTTTGCTGCAATGTTGATCATAGAATCTTGCGAACGCTGCCCATACATGATTTTCTCAGTAAGCCTTCGACTGAAGTAGGGCCATGCAGTAAGAATAGCGAGAATGTAATATCGGAGCCCGTGAGAATTCTAGAAGTGCGGTTGATCTGGAGATTTACTACGAAAAAAGAGACTGCGCCAACTGTCTGTAGAACCACAGTAGCATGTCTGTATTGACTGAAGTATGCGACCCACCACTTTCCCTCACTTGGTCGAGTACACAACGATCTAATACCAAAAAATATTATACTTGACGAAATTGATGCTCCCGCCATGATGGATTACTGTTCATGCTGGCCATTTGGGAAGGCACTCATTACAGCGGGTATGCCGGCGTGGATTGACGAAGACTTCACTGTTTTTGTGCAAATACTGCTTGCATTTCAGGAATATAAATTTACCATCGGTGAGATATATCAGGGAACATGAATTCACCATAGGACAATGGGTTTAGCGCGCTTGCTAAAGCGGATAGAGATGTAAGTTCAACTTGCGCGGGTTTGTCACAGCACTCACTCCCGACAAGACTTTTCAACTATTTCGTTTGCCAAACGTGCTACACCAACTGCCACGTAGAACCATGAGCACGCATCCCATATATGCAGACTACGGCAATGAGGGTAGCCGTGAAGCCAAGATCGCACTTTCTGCTCTTGCGCACACCCTACACATGGACCCGCTGGTACTCAAGATTGCTCTTTCTAATGCTTTCGATATCCTGCACACCACTGGCAGCAATCCAACGCTCGCGCTGCACATAAGCTTCAATCAGTTGAACTACTACATCGACGGCAGCACTCTGGATAGGATCATCGCGGCTTTCTGTGATGCCTTTGCATTCATGCTCAGTGACAAGAAGGGTGAGTGGAACATACCGTGACAACACTTCATACTGATCAAACTTTTCAGATCACACAGCGAACGCGCAGACAGCTCCGATGCCATACCACGGTCACATTCACACTCCTGCAGCACCACGGTACCGATACATCGCACCAAAGGTTGGCTATAATATCTAAGGGGGATCTATAGTCCATGGCACAGGTTTCAACATGCCCGCTGTGTCTTCAAATAGTGGCGTGAACTTGCCAACATCGGTAGGAGAGTATGAAGAAACTCTGAGCCAGATGGTACAGGGAGGTCATCCTATGAATTTCATCAACAAGGAATGGAAATAGGTTTTCTCTGTCTACTAGGCTCGACAACCCTGTTTCGGATAGGTTGTCTTTCATGGATTCCTCAGAGTAAAATGTCTAGGTCTCAAGCTACGTGCGATGCATCACTGGCAATTGAAAGTTCTGGTGTCATGGAACGGAGATTGTGTCAACGGTGCAAGGGTAGAAGAGGTTTATTCAAACTACACCAACAATATCGACTTTGAGCCTCTTGATGAAATTGTGAAATACTTTAGCATGACATTTGACTGTTGTTCATACTGATCGGCCCTTCCCCCTGCCTCTACTACTAGCGACAATAGTATGAATACATGAGCAACTCGCATCTTTGTATATTTCTTGGTGCGAATCTTCCTGTACAGGACCAGCACCCCATGTGTCGTATATATTTTCTGTGATGGCTTCGAGTAGAGCATTCTGAGTTGCTGGCTTCTCCGTGTCGTAGACAACCTTGAATGTATCCCAATCTCCGCACAAGTGTTGAACCAGCGTCGTGACATCCGCAGAAATCTTTTGCGATTCTTCTGATTCCTATATACTAGTTTTCTGGATGTAAGAACTACTGTAATGCGTGCCTTTCTTAACCTAGTCGGTAGGCGGCGGGATGTTGTTATCAAACTGATGGCCTCTAGTCCAGTTGCGTTCTACTCCGTCATTACGAAGGATATCACACTAAACGAAGGCTTGGATTAATGCGTTGCCGCCAAGAGGTCCGGAATCGCTTGCATCTGTGTCTGCTTGATTCGAGGATGCTGACATGGTGGGGAGTACGAGGCGGGCGGGTGATAGTCGCGCCTTCTGCTGAAACCTGAGAACGCTTTCCGACAAACGGTGAACAAACAGCGAAAGCAGTCTTGAACTGCAGCTGACTACTCATTTGATAGATTGAAACCGTTTTTGGGTAGTGAATTGGGTATTCACCTTGGTCTGCCTTGATCAGCATTCACTCCACGCCGTCGGTGCCTTGATAGAAACGTCATATATATCTTCTAGCCATCCATGCAAACGATGCCCCTAGAGTATATATATGGCCCACTGCCAACCATGTCTCCCCCTTCAACAATCTCGACAACCAATACAACTGAGTAACTCGATAACCAACATAACCGAGTAACCATGACCGATCAACCCGGTCAAAACGGCAAAGATAAAATACCCCAACGGGGTAGATACATCCGTTTCATGGAGTTGGAGGAGTCGTTGTTTCCCGACAACGAGGGAGACTTCGCCTCCTCCTTCATGAATCCCAGAAGGCCGAGAATCCAATCGGATCGGCGTAAGTGCCAAAGATCTAAAATTTGCGATCTTTCAGCTACTAACACTTTCCCTTTAGCTTCTCCCTTCGATCCGAGGAATTCGGAAGAAGCCTATCGTTACGTCGGGAACAGGGTTTGGACTGGAGAAGCAGTCGTATATGCTCCTCCTTTCTGGCTAGAGGAGCTAATGGATTTTAATCCATCACAAAATCCATCCTTCTCACAAACTAGCACGCCAGAAGTGCCAGAAAGTACGGGGATCCTGCCAGGATCCCCACAGGCCGGGGACTCGTCGTACTTTGGGAATCCCCAAGGTTCCGGTTCCGGTAAGAATACCAATCGATTGTTGCTCATACCTTCGCTAACATATCTTCGCCCAGTTTCCGGACTCCAAAGTTCCCGTGGGGCGATAACCCCATCGTCTACCAAGAAGCCCCGACGACAAGACAAGGACAAGTTCCAATTCGTCGGGTGGAACGATGAAGCGAAGCGGGCGCTATACCGCTGGAAACGGATATTGAAGAAAGGTTCTTCTTTCTTCCTACACCAATTCTCGGGCGAGACCGAAGCATCGGTGCGAGATGCGTGGGAAAAGTACGGCGAGGAGGGAAAGCGGCTGTACGAAGAGTGGGAGGCTGCGGAAGAAGAGTAAGGCGCGACAGCCACATCTTCGAAAACTTCCGCATAGCCCATCTTCGAAAATTTTCGGCACATATGCCGAGATCCGTACGACAAACAGATCAGGGTTATCGAAGAACTACACAAATCGAGGAACAAAGCCACCAGAATAATCCACCCAGATAATCAAAATCGGGGTGGTATCCTAGGCGGCGTCGACCTGGAGATCCGAAGCGACGTGAAGCATCCGCCCAAGATCCACATTTGGGAGACGGATAGCCACCTTATTTTGCATTCCGTTCGAGACGCCACTGGTTTTTCTGACGTTTGCAAGATCTACGTCTACCGCAACCAGTGCGAGAAGGCTACACTGCTCCCTATCGGCGTCGAGCAATTGATGGCAGTTCATATAGATGGTTTTGCTGTGCTGTAGAGTGGATATATAGAAATAGAGGAAATAAAAATCAAAAACCCGTGAGATACCCTCATGAAAAAGTTCGACATGGGCTTTGAAGCTGGCAGTACATGGACCTTCTTCCTCTGTACATTCTTCTTCGTAGATAGTATGATGATATAGGAACTCTAGGTATTCTCGAAGATGGAAAAAACATTTATGAAAGCGGTGACTGATGTAGCGAAATATTGAGAGTGGATATAATCGTGATGCTTGGAATGGTGTTAAGAAAGCGATGCGGCAGCGATCGTAGGTTGAATAGGTAAGACGTAACAAGCCGCGGGTGATGTGGTATGCAATACCACAGTGCGCTTATATCGAAGCATCTCAACCTTGTGACCTTTTGGTTGCGAATTTGCGGTTACGGTCACTTGGTGATTGCGATTGCGAAAATGTACTTGCAAGTGGTGTTGATGTTGTTCCTCGTCATGTGATCTGCTCACATGGAAATCCAGCCAATCGCCGCCGGCGCGTCAGGCTCGGATGCGACCAACACCCGTTGAAGTGTGTCGGATCTGACAACGGTCTATGTAACTCGTGTCGCACACGTGCGACAATGATTTGAGTGGCATCCGGCGTCAACTGCAGTACGATCCCGCCTGGTGGTGGATCTACTTGGTGTCAAGTGTCACGTAGTTTCTGCCCTCCCAACGGTATCAGATGCGAGCCACCCCAAGCAAGTCGCTGTCAGTCGCATCAATCTACATTACACGTACTTCCACACGATCACGGACCATCAATCTATCGAAGAAACATTACTACTCTTCACCTATAGCTATAGCAGGTTTGGATCTACTAAACAGACAAAGAGAGGTGTCATGCGTTGTTTGATTCGAAACTCGCTTGCACGCTAAATCTGGGTGCACTTCCTTATACGCAACCACCGTCTTCTGAATCATTCTTGGCGTCCATGGTGTCGTACCCAAGAACGAACACATGAAAAGCTTGACGAAGATGCTTAGTCTTCGGAAGTCTTGGAATGACTACCCGTAGAAGGTCCAGGAGTCCATATCACAAATAGCTATGAAGCTAAACCGAGCTGCGACGATCGTGCAACGTGGAGAGCGCGCCATCGCCCTATCACACACGAAGCCTTGGTGTGCATTGGCGTTTGACACACGGTTTCTACCATGCGTAGTTTTCCAAGCATTCAGGCAATGTTCTAGGTGCGTTGCATCCTGCGTTTGTCAGTAACGCCCAGGACGATGCCGAGGACGGATGGGGGACGTAAGCATTCTGTTGCTAAGACTCAACGCCTGTCAGTGACAGCACTATGATATAAAAACCTATCTGGAGTTCCCCCATAGCTTGCTTGTGCTTCTACACTCATTTATATTCGGTTACACTCGCTGCCGGACAGTCTCATTTCAAAATCCATTCACTTCGAACAATCCCATTTCAATCAACATGAGGGTCTCTCTGGATTTGATATTCGGACTCGCGCTTTTCTCAACCGTCAATGCTTATGTCGTTCCTTCTCGCAATGTTGGAACCGACTACGTGCTTCCTTCCCGGAGAATCGGAGCGGTATGTAAAACACGGCAGAGCGGCTACTACTACAGGCCAATTTAATCTGTCTTTCTTGGATACTTACACCTATACCAGACAAGGGGCATTTCCTCAGCACCTCGCACCAATGCTATCCAGCGTGATGCAGAAGTCAGCCATGGCGTTCACCCCCGCAATCCTCAAGGCCTGATGATCGGAGGTCTTACTCTCGGTGGACCAGGCGGCGGCATTACTGGAGATGGCCTTAACCTCGGTGGCAACGGCAACAAGGGAAATGGCACTGCGATGGCTGAGGGAATGAAGGGCAAAAAGTCAGGGAAAGGGAAAGGGAAAGGGAAGGGAATGAAGGGCGAGAAAGAAATGCCAGCGGGATGCGCCGCTCCGCCCCCTGCTGGAGAGGGAGAGAAGTCAGCACCCCCTGCAGGAGGAGAAACACCCGCTGGTGGAGAAGCACCTGCTGGAGGAGAAGCACCTGCTGAGGGAGAAAAGCCTGCTGGAGGAGAGGCGCCCGCCGGTGGAGAGGCGCCCGCCGGTGGAGAAAAGCCCGCTGGTGGAGAAGCACCTGCTGGAGGTGAGGCACCCGCTGGCGGCGAAGCACCTGTTGGTGGAGAAGCACCAGCTGGTGGGGAAAAGCCTGCAGGAGGAGAAACATCTGCTAGTGAAGGAGCGTCTGCCGGTGCTAAGGCGGAGTCTGTGGGCGGAAACAAAGCCACTGAAGAGTCCGAACAGTTCTCTGAAGAGTCTGGTATCAGCCTTGGCAAATCTGGCGAAGCTGCAAACCTTGGCGGAAACCTAGGAATCACAAAGGGCTCTGATGGTAGCAGCTCTGTTGGTGGCAAGAACGGTATCAACGTTGCCGCTCGCGGATACTAAGCAAACGTTACAGACAACGACTAGGTGTGGATCATAGAGATGTCTTTGTCCAGCCTCCTGGTTGATACATCTCGCACTTCTCCTGCACATATTCAAGCAGCTGGAACGTCTCCTTCATGTTGTCGAAGCTGGTCATATTTCGCGTTGTTCAGGATTGCTGCCTTCTCTCACCGGGTCAATGGTAGTGCGGTGAGATAGTTTATAGTCCATCACTTGTACATACAAAAGAATGTTATTCGACGCACCTTCAGAGTTTCTTCATGTTTTATTCCCAGGTTGTGCCTCTGCTGGTTTCACACCTCACCGAGATGGTACCCAAGATTGATGTTGAACGCGTGAACGGTGAAAGGGAATACACTGTATAGGCACGGGCCATGAGTCACTTATGAGGTAGCAGCGACCTGAGTCTGCTCCTGACCTCTACACCTCACAAACCACCTGATATCTACTATCACTTCAGACATCATGATTTTCACAGGTACTAGTGACGGCAAGGATGGTGCCGAGAGCCATCCCGAGCTGTGCAAAGAAGCTGTCAAACAACCTACTCTGACCGAAAAGAGACAATCATCATCCTGGCTTGGAATGAATGAGTTACAGCTTGAGATTCAGCGCTTGACAAGCGACATTGATACGCGCAACGCTTACACCTGGAGTCTCGAGCGGGATCATGCTAAGGCTGCTTCCGTGGTATTGGAGAACGAAGTACTTCGCAAAAAGGTGGATGAGCTCATCAAAAACATGGAGATTAAAGACGCCGAGCTATATACGCTCAAAAATGCTATGGCTAGCTCTGCCGAAACAACTGAAGAGGCAAAACACATGCGCGCCCAGATGGAGGCTTTCGCATACTCCAATAACAAATTGAGAGAAACAATTGCGAAACACATAGCTCAGGCCAACGATGTTACTCGTCTCCAGGCTTCAGTCAGCGACCTGCAGGCGAAGCTCAATGCTGAGGAGGATACCAACAAACGACTTACTACAACGCTCTCAGAGAATACGGATACAATCAAAGACATCACTCGTGTATCCGACGTTCTAAGAGCACAGAACAAAAGTCTTGTGAGCAAGGTCAACGGACTCCAAGAGGATCTAGATTCCACCGAGAAAGCTCGAGATGGGTAAGTTTGCCGCACAATCGTTCCATTGCACCACAGCAATCTCAACATTCTACCAATCACTTGACCAGAAGATCACAACCATTGCTGTCGCCGTCATTATAGTCAATCTTTTATATGTGTAACCCTTTTTAGTCTCTTTATTAACATACACGCAGGCACTACAAAAACTACACCCAGACATTGCAACACTGCAACACACTCCAGCAGGAAACCGCTGCGCTAAAAGAAGAGAAACGAGCTCTCGTCGAGAAACTCAACAATCAACTACACAACCTGGGCGGTTGGGTCACAGATCTGGACCTTATGCAAGAGGAAATTCGCATCTACGTCTGCCCGCATGACGACTTGAGAACCATCTACCCAGCAACGGCAAAAATCACGCAGATGAAGAAAGCCTGGATGATAGCAAGCGAGATTTGGAAGCTATGTGATAGCGAGAACAAGTTTCTGAAGGCATATGAGACATCAAGACAAAGCATCTTGGAGCATCACCGTGCACACGAGAGGGCGCAGCATAAGAATGGGCATTGTAGGAAGAGGATCAAGGCGGCGTTTGAAGAGCTGGATCAAAAGAGGCAGTTTTGTACCAAGTACAACTGAGGGACTTAATGACATACCGGAGATATGGCTATTGTACCGTGAGCATGTGGGTGGACTGGCGATATAATGTAAAATACTCAAAATGATGCAGATACATCAGTCGCGTAACGCAAGTACGCATGCGTACTTGAACTAAGTCAAATCCATAAAACTCTCCACCTCCCCCATATCTCCCCCTAGATATCCCCCATTCTACTCTCCAAAATGGCTTTCAACATGTCTCGCAACAGCCACCTCATCCCCCTCAAAAACCCCACAAACCGGACAAACCGCCGTCTCCCCACCGCCACCTCTACTACTACCCTCATATCGTCTATCCGCCTCCTCCAACGCCGCAAAAAGACCCCCATCAACCTCCCCCCTCCTGGCCTCATCATAGAAATACTCATCATTCTCCCTCACATCCCTCTCCATCCTGCCCCCTGCCATCCTGGCCCCTCTCCCACTACCTCTCACCTCCCCATCGCGCCCTAACCCCGCATCCGCCCCTCCAACAAGCGCCTCGCCCCTCTCCCCCTCAGCCTCACTCGCAAGACTCTGCACGCGGCCCACACGGCCATCCCGCAGACGCACTTTAACGCCTCGCGGATGGTCGCCGCGTGTTAGGATGTCAGCGACGATACCCGAGACGCGGTGGCCGGTGGGCTGGTCTTGTTTGAGGATTAGGGAGACGGGGGTGCCGGGGTGGATGGAGGCGTAGGGGGGCACGGGTGTGTATGCCGGGGAGGGGCGGGTGCCTCTGGGGTTGTCGGATTGACCTCTTCCCCGGCCTCGGCCTCGGGCTTGTCCTCTGCTGCCGCGCGAGGAGGAGTCGCCTCGGGGTTGGCGGTTGGGATGGCCTCTTCGTCCTGTTTGCATGGCTCTTTGGATCGCTTTGTGGATGGTGTGTGGGACGTTGTTTTGAGAAAATTATAGATGGATCGAAAAGTCGTCCCAGAATTCAAATGGTCTGTTTCTTTTGTTTCCTCCTCTTCTTCCTCAAATAATTTAAATAGTCGTTCCTTAGCGTGTGCTCAATTTCATGTCTTTCTGTCGCTCGTTTCGCATGAAAAAGCCGAATAGATACTTGTAGCAGTAGTGTAGGCGCTATCTTAGATTATTATCAGAAAATTGCCTAACACGTCCTCAAAAGTGACTGGAAAATAGGAATGTTTGCTTGAAAGAGCCTCAATGGCAAGACGTCAAGGATAAACGAAGTCGTTTTGAACATTCCAAGACTAGCGTTGATTACGTCATTTAGTGATTTCTCCTTTGTAGAAATGATATCTGCCAAAACATATCAGCAAGTACTTTATCCGCACTTGATGTCTTCAAGTTCCTTCTCACAGTGACGATTTGGATGTCTCAGAATCATAGCAGCAGTGGGGTTCAAAACAATAAACTTATCTTCAGCTGAATTTTTCGCTATGTAGGACCTTATCCTGGGATCTGTCAAAGAACCCTCCAAAAATATGTGGAAAAAACCATCTAGTCGCAAACGAAAGACGCCAGGCAATGCAACGAACGCAACAGCCCCAAATACAGGAGAAGCGACACCAAGCGACCGTTGTACGAACCTAGCGCTTGCGCAACTTCTGTACCCAACGCCATGTATGAGAGATCTGTCAGAAATGTGTCGTGCCAAAGGGGTATACACATGAATCAAAGGTCGTCTTGGTGCGTCCCAAAACATATTTGGGGTATCCAAGAACAACGAGTATTTCTCGGTCTTTAGAAAGGGAAACCACCGGGTGGTCCCCTGCTTCGGCCGCCACCAGGCATGCCGCCCATGCCACCAAAAGGACTGCCACCGCCGGAGCTGAAGTGGAAGCCTCCTCCACCGCCTCGGCCGCCTCCCATACCTCCTCCCATGCCGCCAAACATTTGCATGACTGTGGCTGATGTTAGCTCCGTTTCATTCAATGAATGTCATAGCGTTACTTACGAATTTCTGGATCGATACCACCACCCATGCCTCCTCCCATGCCACCGCCACCAAACATGTCGTTGGGGTCAACAAGGTCGGCGCCGGAATCGTATCTCTCACGCTTCTGCGGGTCGCTCAGGGTCTCGTGTGCTTCTTGAATTTCCTTGAACCTGTCTGCAGCATCGGCATCATCAGGGTTCTTGTCGGGGTGGTGGATGATGGCCAACTTTCGGTAGGCCTTCTTGACTTCAGTCTCAGTTGCGTCTTTTTGGATACCGAGAATCTTGTAGTAGTCTTTCCTCTTGCTCTTCTTGAGCTCCATCTCTGCATCGCGAATCTCTTTGGCAATGCCCGGCTCCGACGGGTTTTCTTCGGCGATAGCCTTGAGATCGCGCAACGCCTCCTCCCAGTTTCCGCTCTCACCCAAAGCCTTCGCCTTGGTCTTCCGTGCCTTTGTGTAGCCTGGATCCAATTCAAGTGCTTTCTCGCAGTCGGCGATTGCCTGCCTCCAGCTCTTTTGCCGAGTGTGGCAGAGGGCTCGGTTCTGCAGAATTTTTGAGTTCGTGTTCTTGTTTGCAGGGTCAACTTGGAGCGCTTGTGAATAGATATCAATGGCCTCCTGATATCTGCCAGACTTGAATGCAGCGTTGCCTTCTGACTTCATGCGATCCAACTTTTGCACCATCCGCAGGTACTTGACTGCAGCCTTGAAGTCAGGATCGCAGTTCAGTGCCTGTCGAAAATGCTGTAATGCCTTTTCATTCTCACCCTGCGCGTAGAGAATACGGCCACGAAGCACCAGGGCATCTGGGTCTTGGTTGTTGTATCGTAGCAGAGACATGACAACGTTCTGTGCCTCTCCCAGCGCATTAAGGTTGTTCATCCGCAAGTGTGCTTCTCCCCGCATCAGCTGCCACTTTCTTGGTTTGTCCACGCCAGCACCGAGGCCCTTCTCAGCCTCGTTGAGAGCATATATAACCATGGAACCTGAGCCTTCGTTCCGTGAAGTCTCCTCTGCCATGCGTAGATGCTTCTGCATGGTCAGCGCAGGCTGTTTGTCCTTGGTAGAGGCACCAATCGAATCGTACACCTGCAGAGCCTCATCTGGCCGGCCCAAGCTGGTGTACACTCGACCTAGTCGCAGCAGAATCTTCATGTTGTTGGGGTCGAGCTCGTCTGCCATCTTGCAGTCCTCCATGGCCTCGTAGAAGCGGTTCGCAGAAATGTAGGCGGCAGCGCGGTTGGAATAATAGGTAGCATTCTTGGGGTCGGCCTCGATGGCTGTGGACTAGTTAGTCTAGGAGTCTACTTGGTGTATTGTGGCACAAGGCTGCGGGTGCCGGCAGTGCTACGGGCAAAGCGAGTATTGCCAGTGTAACAACGCACCTTTGGAGTATTCCTCGATTGCCCTGGGGTAGTCTTTGATCTTGAAGAACTTGTTGCCCGCGGCCTTGTACTCCTCAGCATCGATTGTCGGTGGCTGAGCGGGTGGTGTGGCGGCCTCAGGGGTGGCTGCATAGTTGGCGGTGGGTGGCGGCGGGCTCTTTGTATATCTGTGTGGTGGGGGAGCCGGCCCATCAGGTACACCGTTGGTGCCATTTGTCTTTGGGGCGTCTACCGCGGGGCTCTGGGGTGCGGGAGAGGACGAGTGTTCCCTGTCCAGGTCCATGGGCTGGGGCGTGGGCTGGTCCATGGCAGCGGACATTTGGACAAAGAGACGCTGACGCTCCTCAGGCGGCAGATTCAGCGGGTGCGAGTCACGGTCGTATTTGGACGAACGCTTCGACGAGTAGGAACTGGAGCGGCGGGAGGAGCGTTCCCTGTCCTTGACCTTTGAATGTGACTGCTTGTCGGGTGAAGCGGGAGGGATGTCGGAGCTGGACTGCTGTGTGGGCCTGTATTTTTTTGACGATTTAGCAAAGAGAGAGGGAAGAACCATGGAGGCGAAGTGCGGGCGAGTAGCGGCCTGGTGAGTGACTGGGTCGCTGGAATTTCAGTCGAGCGATGTTTGGAGAATCCAGGGTCGATGAAAATTGGAGCTGGGATTTGGCTCGTCCCGTTGCTAGAACGTTCCATTATCAGCGAGGATAATCCCGCTAGCACCGCTGCCACACTATCAAGCCGCGGCGGACGTGCATGGGAAGGCTGGGGCGCGGGTCCCTCGGGCGGAGAGCCAATCCTCTGGGATATCCGTATTGTCGCGGCTTTTTTTTTATTTTTATTTTGATATGTGCACATTCGGACAGCAAAGGAAACACATGGCCTTGTCTGCTGTATTTTCATGCCGACACACAGTAGGTAAGATGGAAAGAACACAAGGAGCCCGCGTGCCTCTGATTTTGGTCTTTCAGCTACCTTTGACGCTACCTTGCACGACAAAGCCATGGCCAAACGTTGTCGCGGCGAAACGAGACCAGTCCCTGAGGCAACGCAATCTGCGATGAGCGAGGCTGGGGTGCGCACTGTCAACAGATCGCCAACACCGTGCACTTGGGGTGCGTGAGTTCGTCCACTCCTAACGCTCGCAACCCACCCCTTTGCATTGGCATGATGCGCTGGCTTTTTTGACAACCAGCCTACTCGTTTGTGTGCCAATGCTAAACGCTGCTTGCTTGCATTTGCGCTGCTCGTGGCTAGATGGCAACGAGAGAGGGCTGGGCGGCGCGTCGGGCAATCCTGTCAAGATAAACTTTGTTCTGTGCGTTGCTGGGTCCAGATGAAGGCGCAGAGTAGAAAAATGCTGGGCGTGGATGCTCCATAGCCTCACGCGTCAGCAGACTAGGTGGTAAGATGTGTCTGGCTCCATGGCCATTCCTATTGGCTGGTGCATTGACTGGTTCGCACAGTGGACCCCGCTCCGCCCCGAGCATACTTCACCACCGCCAACTCAGAGAGAGTATGTGTTGTTTAAACCGTGGTTAGTGTATTCGGTACAAAACCCAAACATGCCTCAGTAACAGCAACAATCACTTTCTACATACTACTAGTTCAACGTCCCGTGTTGCTCACGCTAACCTCCGCCTCGCCTCTTTCGTCATTCTGCGCCATCATCCCGCTCTCTTCCACGCACGTGCCATTAGGTACCAGCATCCCGGCTTCACCTTCCAGCATACCCAGCCAAGGCTTCTACTTACTCCACATCTCAAGAGAGCACACGCTCTTTGGCGCGATCCTGGGTGCCACCGTCTTCAGCGCCCCAAACGCCCCCAAAGCCCGGATCCGCACCAGCACCGTCGCCTCGGCCCTCGCCTCTAAACCCGGTCCAGCAGCACGTATGACAGGCGGCGACCAGCGCCCAGTGGCCACTTCTGACCTTCGTCGACGTCTTTCCAGACCACGCAAACACCATCCAGCTTCGACTGGCGAATCCGATCGTCTCATCATCACCATGGGTCTTTCGTACAACATCTACCTCAACTCGTCGCGCATCTACGGTTGTAAGAACTGCAAGACGCACCTCTCCAACCACGATGACATCCTCAGCAGGGTTAGTGCGCCCCGATGCCTTGGGCTGATATCGAAAAAAATAATGCTAACAGGTCGCTCGCAGAACTTCCGTGGCCAACATGGCAAGGCTTACCTGTTCGACAGCGTTGTCAACGTGACCGAGTCTGACCCCAACGAGCGCAACATGACTACCGGACGTCATATAGTCCGTGACATTCACTGCCGCCAGTGCAAGGAGACGGTCGGCTGGAAGTACGACAAGGCGTACGAGGCCAGTGAGAAGTACAAGGAGGGCAAATTCATCCTCGAGGCGGAGCTCTTATGCACCGTCACTTGAAGAGGCTACACTACACACGGGGCTTGGCGTCTTGGGTGGGCATTTGTGGAGTTTTGGATTGGATACGGGCAACATGACTGGGTTTATACAGACGGTGGTTTGTTTGCATTTCGGTTTTATTATTTTTTTTAGCTCTGGCTGGCCGTTGCAGGCCGGTCCTAAGTAGCATGTTGAACTCGCTAGCTTTTTTCCACTCCTTTATCGGCCTACTCGGGCGTGAAGTCGGAAAGATGTGGAGTGATGCTCGCAGGCTTGCCACAGCGAGCCGAGGCCCGCTCTGCTGCACTCTGCGTCATGACGCCATCCCGGTGCTTGTTCACAGGACGGGCACTCTATTTCAACCTGGTCGAGCATAGCTACAGCAGAGACATGCATGGAATTCTGCAAACTATGTGCGTACGAGCCTAGGTACTGTGCCTTCCTTGCTGGTGGCTGCTGCCCCGCCGAGGAACGACTGCGGGGTAGCTACCGAACATGCTCTTACTCCCACCACGAACGCGTCTCCCGCACATCGGCCTTGGGTTCGAGCAGACACTTCATATGTAGGGCGTGAGCTCCACTTAGTTGCATTGTCTTACTTGCGTCCACATACATACACACAATTCTTTTCGTTCTTCCTCTCGTCTTTGATCATTGTCAATTGCACGCATTGCACCTGAACTTCTTCCAAACACATGATGAAAGCTGTCGTTTTCAAAGGGCCGGGAAAGGTGGTGATCGAAGAGAGACCTATCCCCAAGATCCAAGATGACAAGGACATAATTGTCAAGGTGGACAAGGTACTGTTTTGTCAAAGCGCCAGCGTGCATTGCTAACCCCCATGCAGACGGCGTTGTGCGGGAGGTATGCTGGCACGCTCTCACAATAGCACGGACTGTTTCTGACTAGGAAAACAGCGAACTGCATGTCTTCAGGGGTCACCAGCCATCAGGAACCGAATTTGTCATGGGCCACGAGTTCACTGGATATGTACACGAGGTAGGCGTGTCGGTCAAAAACCATAAGGTTGGCGACCAGGTGGTCACGCCCTTTACAACGTCGTGTGGAGAGTGCTTCTACTGCAGCCATGGGTATTCATCGCGATGCACCAAAAGCCAACTGTTCGGGTCTGTTGGCCTGGACGGCGCTCAGGCCGAGTACGTGCGAGTCCCACTTGCTGATTCGACAGCTGTCAAAGCTCCACCAGGGATCAAGGACGAAGTCTTGGTTTTGATGGCGGACATCTTCCCTACTGGCATGTTTGCAGCAAAGAACGGTTTCCAGTATTCCAGTCCGGAGGAGATCAAAGACAGCGTCGTTGTCCTCATTGGATGTGGGCCTGTTGCTCTCTGCGCGCTGTGCAACATCACCGACTACAAGCCCAAGCACATTCTCGCCGTGGACTCTGTGCCCTCTCGGCTCGAGCTCGCCAGGTCGCTCGGCGCCGAGCCGTGGAATTTCCAGACGGACCGCGAAGGACTCGACAAACGCGTCAAGGAGCTCACCGAAGGCCGCGGTGCTGACATTGTAATTGAAGTCGTTGGATTGTCACCTGCTCTGCGTATGGGCTACGAACTGATCCGGCCGTGGGGCGTCATCAGTTCCGTTGGTGTTCACAATGGCGAGATTCCATGGACTGGAAACGAAGCTTACAACAAGAATGTTCGAGTTCAAATGGGCCGTTGCCCCGTAAGGAGCGTGTTTGAGGAGGCAATGGAGAGCCTCAAGAGACATCAAGACAAGCTCGGGTGAGTGCAAACGCTTTCACTGTGGGCACCATGGCAGGTCAGCTTACACGAACAGATTCATGGCGGACAAGATCATGCCGCTGAGCGAGGCGGTGGAGGGCTACGACTTGTTTGACAAGATGAAGGTGCAGAAGGTTGTGTTTGAAGCCCAAAAGTAGGGGGGCGTAGGATAGGATGTAGTAGTACAAGTAGTAGTATATATGTATGTGCATGTACATAGTAGTGGTATGTAAGCAGATGTGCTCCGAGGAGGTGGACAGGCACAGTTAACCTCTTGAGAGGGGAGAATATAATAGGTTGGCCAATGGGGTACTCGTGGCTTAGAAAGCAAGCATGGCGGGCCAATGCTGTGATGGTGCATAGTTAGTGCTAGCTGCTGCATCGCCGTGGGACCAGGATGGCGGCGAGGCGAGGGCTCGTGCACGCGGGGTCTATTCTGTGTTTGCGGATGGGGCGGCGCGAGGATGGTCGACGAACAGGCTGGTGCATTCACGCCTGCACCCAATGCCCTCGCCTCGTGCTGCCCTCGTAGAACGCAATGCTGCCTGCTGTGCGAGGACGGCTGCTGCATCGCAAAAGAAGTGCAGCTGCTCCCTCTGCCTGCCCTCTTCTTGAATGCGGCAAGGCGTGCCCGTTCTCGCTAAGACGAGCTTCAACCTGCCTGCCGCCCGAATATTGCGCTCTGCCTCCAGACCTGTCCCTCCCTCTCCCTCCCTCTGCCTCTGCCTGCCTCGCTCCATTGTGTGTCTGTAAAACCCCCCCGAGACTGGCACCATCACCACATTTCTCTTCTCTCCTCTCCCGGCCCTCTCTCCCTCTCTGCCCCTCTCCGCTCCCCTCAACCCACCCTTGTTCCTTTTCCATCTGTCCCGTCGGCCGTTCCGCACCGACCACCTCTCTCACCCCCGCCACTTCCGTAGTCGCCTGTGAGTACATACAGCTGCTCCCATGTTCACTTCCACACACGATCCCAAACACAACCACTGACACTCGATCCCACAGCCTGACCTCCCTTCTCCCCCGTCTCTCTCCCTCCTCATCCCCTTCTCCCCCCTCTCACGTCCTACCGCCGTCCTTGCGACTTACCCTCTTCGCCCGTGAGTGTTGCGACGTTGCGCCAGTCGCGAAACTGCGTCACTAAACTGCGTCACTGACGACTGCACCAGCACTTTCTCACGGCCATCCCGCAACATGTCCACCGAAGAGCCCCAGCTCGGTCCCGGCCAAGACGCCACTCGTGTTGCCGATCAACTCGACCGCCTCAACATGGACGGCGAGGGTGAAGTGGTCCCACGCACCGAAGAGGAGTATGCCGAGGCGCAGCTCACCTTGCGAGCCATTGTTTCGTCCAAGGAAGCCGGTGTCATCATAGGCAAGGCTGGCAAGAATGTCGCCGACCTACGCGATGAGACTGGTGTCCGCGCCGGTGTCAGTAAGGTAGTTCAAGGCGTCCACGACCGCGTCCTCTCCGTCACGGGCAGTCTCTCTGGCATATCAAAGGCATATGGTTTGGCTGCCAAGGGCCTGCTCGAGGGCGCACCTGCCATGGGCATGGGCGGCGTTATTCGCACTGACGGCACTCATCGTACGTACAAATGCTGTGTCCTGGCACCAAGGTGACGGGTGCATGAAAATGCCAAGCTAACTTTTTCAGCTATCCGCCTCCTCATCTCCCACAACCAGATGGGCACCATTATTGGTCGTCAGGGTCTGAAGATCAAGCAGATCCAAGATGCCTCTGGTGTCCGCATGGTTGCTCAGAAAGAGATGCTTCCCCAGTCGACGGAACGGATTGTCGAGGTCCAAGGATCTCCTGCCGGCATCGAGAAGGCTGTGTGGGAAATTGGCAAGTGTCTCATTGACGACCACGAGCGTGGCTACGGTACTGTCCTCTACAATCCTGCTGTTAGGGTCCAGCCCGGCGTGGGTCCCGGTCCCGCGGCGAATGGTGGCAGCGCACCTGCCGGTGGTATGGGCGGCGGACGCTCGTACAACCGCACTGGCCATGGCGCTGACTTTAGTGACTCGCCGCCTGCCTTTTCTCGACGGTCCGGTTCGGATGCTGCCAGCAGGCCACCGCCCCCTACACACACGGAAGACGGTGAGGAGATGCAGACGCAGAACATTAGCATTCCGTCTGACATGGTTGGTTGCATCATTGGGCGCGGCGGCAGCAAAATCAGCGAGATTCGAAAGACCTCGAATGCTCGCATCTCCATTGCCAAGGCTCCCCACGACGACACTGGCGAGCGCATGTTCACCATCACTGGTAGTGCCAGTGCTAACGAGAAGGCCTTGTACCTCCTGTACGAGAACCTCGAGGCTGAAAAGATGCGCCGCAGCCAGGCGCAAGAGTAGACGGCTATGCTAGCACATCCCTCCACATTGGACACGATTGTGGGTGGTGCTGCCTCCACGCCACCCATTGAAACTGGCGAGTTTACTAGGAGGCCATACAGCCGCTACATGATATTGCTGGTCCTTCACGTTCGACAGCCATCTGTACGTGTCATTCCCTAATGAAGGCCCACCGACATGAGATCCAAAAGCATGAGCTTGATTAGTTTCTTACCTGCTGTTAAATGATGGATACCACGGATTTTTTGGGGGCATTGTTTTAACTTTTTTTTATTGTCGAGAGAGAGATCGATATCCAAGTGCACGCTGAGCGGTTCACGAATGTCATGATGTTATGGCCTTTGATATCCGGATCGCGCATGTGCTCATGGGTAGCAGCGCTAGTATCCATTTTGTGGTTTTTCTGGCGAAGAAGAGATGGGGCAGATATGAGTTTAGTCTCATTGCCTCGAGCTCTATGGTAGCACTTCAATGTGCTTTCCCTAATCACTCCCTCACCATTCCCCTGCTACAGCCCGTCACTCCTACCGATACCTACCTACTAGATACAATCAATCAAACACATTATGTCGGCATGTGAGATCTTGTAGCCCAAGGGGCAGTGATCCCAAGTATAGATATAGAGGAGATGAGCTAGCCTTTGCACAAGAAGCACAGCGAGGCTGCGAACGGCTGGACCCTCGCTGGTCGACTAGCGCATGTACGTCATGGTGTCACGCTTTGACACGAAGCACAGGACGCAAGTGCCGTTGGCCCCCCCTCGCTAACAGCTCAACCAGCGTCGGACCACTGCGGGTGGTGCACCACCATCCAACACGTCGACAGCCTCGAGAGTGCTGGCGAGGGCGCGTTGTCGAGTGGACGAGTAGTGCTCGAGGCGCGGCAGCCCTCTGATGCGGTGAGGTTCGGCAGCGGAGCTCGCTTATCCTGCTGTGCTTGCCAGGTTTGGTAGTGCCAGGGATCGCCCAGAATGCCGGAGATTGGTAGACTAGAGAGCACCGCACAGCTTTGACGCCCGACCGATTTCCGAGGCTGGGATGGCAGTTGTCTTTTCATGAGCTATGCTGTTCTAGGAAGGGGTGCATAGTGGTTAAAGATGATTCTTCTTGACCGCACATTCCCTCTTTTCCCTCCCCGTCTCTTCACCTCGACAGACTTTTTTGCCCGTCACTCAAACTGCACCAAACCACCCATACCAAGTCACATCAGCACTACACCACCATCTGGACCAGAGACAGCACTCAAGAAACATCATACCACCGGCACATTCTGACAGGATGGCGCCCGTTCAGACACAAACCATGACATCCCACCAGTTCGACAACCCAGTCACAGTCATCCGAGCCTCCGGACGGATATCCAAACCACCAGCGCGCTCCACACGCACACAAAACAAGGCGCTCCTGTCACATTCGCCACAGATTCCCACAGCACACCCAGACATTAACATCACATTACTCCGCAACAAGCTGCTCCTGCAATGCCGGAGATACCTACCCTCGGACCTCCTTCATGAAGCACTGGCAGACGGCATCTACTCCCGTGCCACTCACTGGATCACGCCGTGCTCGAGCGCTGCGTCCAAATTTGGCAAGCGGAAGAGGTACTACGTGCTTGACTCGTCGACATTCACGTTCCAGTCTCTTGGCAGCGCATGGGAAGCGCGGATCCTGTCGGGTGGCAGCCAGCCCATTGACGCTGGCAACGGGGTTGTCATCTTTGTCAAGGAGAGAAAGGAATGGGACGCCTTTATGGCGGGGTACAGAAGGCAAGGCAAACGAGCGGGGCAATTGATGAAGCTCAAGCAAAAAGACACAGAGCGAGGGTGGCGAGACGCGTGGAAGCGAAAGTGCGGTATGGAAGAGGGCGGGGGCAAGGAAGTGAATGCCGGGCCCATGTGGGTGCTGGTCAAGAGCGCTGTTGCGAAGATTGTCAAGGGCGAGGCCTGAGACCAGCAAGGGGAGCGGGAGGAGAAGTTGAAGCTCACGTGTAGCAGCTTAGGGCAGAATGAGGCGGAGAGGGCGAGGTGCGTGGGCGGCGGGGTGGGGAGGGAGAGCGGTTAGCATCATCAGCAGGCCGGAAGCAAAGGGCTAGGCCTCGGCGTTTTTCTCTTTGCATCATTCTTAGCGAGCATTTTTTTTAGACACGACCATTAACGATGGCTGGGGGGGCGGTAAGCGCGTTCCTCAGCGCAACAACACCAGTAGAGTACATACATAGAAACATATGTATCCTTAATGGAAAACACGCACAACACAAGAACGGCAGCACGGCTTTGTCCGCATTGTCTCACCCTCCCTTTCGGCGCTATTTTTTTTCCTCATGTGCCCGTCTGCGCTCGTCCCTCCCCTCCCTTCCTCCCCCCGCCCTGAGCTTGAGACATCCGCCCCACAGGGGACAAGGCCACAAGGGCGGGTGGTGGCCACGCTAATCGCCCACTGGTTCCGAAACGCTAGCTTCCGAATTCCGATTCCCGAAAGAGGCTCAAACGTGGCTCGTGCCGCTCACATTAGCGTTCTCCGTCCTTAGCTCCGGCGCGCCGCACTTGAAGCCACGGTTGTCAAGGCAGACCGCGAGGGCCAGAGACAAGAAATCATCAGGCCCTAAAGCCAGGTGTTCATTCTCGCCTTGGTGGCTGTTGTTTCATTTATCATCGACATTACCCGGTGGATTTGACTCTTGCGCTTTCTCATTTCTACTTTTATCAGCTTGTTGCTTTTCATTTTCTGAGCGCTCATCTCCCTGCGCCTGTCCACTCCTTTTATCCCCCTCCAACCTTGCATCGTCGACGCAGAAGACTCGCAAACAACCGCATTACGAAAGAACAAAATGGCACAGGCAGTGCGCCGCAAGGCCAACGAAACCAATGGCCATGCGCACCACCGTCTAGACGATGCGGTGCACTCGATTGAGCAAAAGCTGGAAGAGCAGGCGGAGCTGCATGCGCGAAACCCTCAGGAACAGAAGGAGGCAGGACTGTTCCAGCTCGTCATTTGCGTCGCTGGTATCTACGGTAGTTTGTAAGTATCACAGCACGCATATGCGACAAAGGAATACACGCTGACGAGCGCAACCCCAGCATGACATGGGCCTGGATCCAAGAGCGTCTAACAACCACCACCCACGGCCCCTCCAACCAACGCTTCACATACTCCATCTTCCTCAACACCATCCAATCCGCCTTCGCCGCCATAACCGGCCTAATCTACCTCTTCCTCTCCGCAAAGAAAGACCCGAAAACCGGTGTTCGCACCGTCGCCCCCATTTTCCCTTCCCGCAGCATTCTCCTCCCCTTACTAGGCATCGCGCTGACCTCGTCACTTGCCTCACCTTTCGGATACGCAAGCCTCAAGCACATTGACTACGTCACCTTCATCCTCGCCAAAAGCTGCAAACTGCTCCCCGTCATGTTCCTCCACATTTCCCTCTTCCAAAAACGATACCCACTGTATAAATACGCAGTCATCGGCTTCGTAACCCTCGGCGTCGCAGTCTTTACCCTATACAGCCCGTCCACTGCGAAGAAGGCCGCCAAGAAAAGCGGGAGCGTAAATGCGGATGCGTCGCAGACTGTCGGCTTGGTCTTGTTGGGTGTGAATTTGCTGTTTGATGGTCTGACGAATACGGTCCAAGATCACATCTTTACGTCGTTCAAGGGTTTCACGGGTCCCCAGATGATGTGTGCGCAGAATATCATGTCAACGGCACTCACAGTCTCGTATCTCCTCATCACCCCTCTTCTCGCCTCGACCCCGCTAGCCTCCTCGCTCGGCCTCGCCACCTCGGAACTCAGCGATGCGCTGGGTTTCATCTCCAAATACCCGGCTGTGGGCGCAGACGTCCTCATGTTTTCCGCCTGCGGTGCTATCGGCCAGGTGTTCATCTTTCATACCCTCGCCCATTTTAGCAGCTTGTTGCTTGTTACCGTCACGGTTACCCGTAAGATGCTGACTATGGTGTGGAGTGTGTGGTGGTTTGGACACGAAATTACGAGTATGCAGTGGGTCGGTGTTGGACTTGTGTTTGGTGGTATTGGTGCTGAGGCGGCGATGGGGAGGAGGGAGAAGGCTAAGAAGGCGGCGGCTAAGAAGGCTGAGTTGGAGGCTGCTAAGAAGAGGTAGATGGAGTTTCGGTGAGTTGAAGATATGGCCATGCTTCTTCTTCTTCTTCTTTTTTTTCTTGTACATTCCAACGCACATTGCTGGTTTCTTTGCTCTGAGGACTTTTTGGAAATAGGGGGAAAGGGAAGGAGCACACCATATACCATAGACAAAGAGTGTAGAAACACCAATATAGAAAGTTCAACCATCTTTCTCCCAAAAAAACAACCCCCCCCCTCCCCTCATCTCCTCTAATACACACGCTATCTAATTCTAAATCTACTCCACAACCCCCTTCCTCGCCCACTCCCTAAGCACATTCTTCTGAATCTTCCCCGTACTCGTCTTAGGCAACTCCCTCACAACCACCACCTCCCTGGGTACCATGAACCGACTAATATGGCTATTCTCTTTCGCCCACTGAATCACCTCCGCACCCAGCGTGTCGCTCTTGGAGCCATCTTTCGTAGTGACGAAGGCCTTGGGGCGCTCGCCCCAGTGGGAATCCGGGACGGCGCAGACGCCGACTTCGAGGATGGCGGGGTGGGTGGAGAGCATTGCTTCGAGGGCGACTGAGGAGATGTTTTCGCCGCCTGGAAAGCAAACGTTAGTGTTTAGATTTTGAAAGTGGGGGGGGAGAAAGGGGGAACGTACCACTAATAATAATATCCTTTGCTCGATCCAAAATCTGAATTGCGCCATCAGGATGCCAGACTGCCAAATCACCCGTGTGCAACCATCCCCCTTCCCACAGCTTGCGTGTTGCCTCTGCGTCTTTGTAGTAGCCTTTTGCGCAGATATTGCCTTCGAAGATGATTTCGCCGATTTCCTGGCCGTTTTTCTCTACGTTTGTAAGGACGCCAGCGGGTTGCTCGGGTTTGATGACGCGGAGGGCTTTGGCGACGATGAAGCCGTGGCCCTGGCGTGCCATGCGGCTGTATTTTTCTTTGTCGGGGAGCGTGTCCCACTCGGGCACGTGGTAGCCCTTTGTGATGGGGCCGTAGGTCTCGGTTAAGCCGTAGACATGGACGGGGTTGAGGTTCAGGTTTGACATTTGCTCAAAGAGCCAGGCTGAGGGTGGGGATGCTGCTACGGTGACGCGGACGGGTTGGGGCAGGCGTTCGGCTTCCTTGGCTGCGCAGAGTAGTGTGTTGACGGTTGGCGCTGCGTTAAAGTGTGTTATCCCTTCTTCCTTGAGCAGGCGCCAGATTTCTGGGTAGTCAATCTTTCGAAGGCAGTAGTGTGTACCTCGGACAGCGGTGACGGACCAGGGAAAGGTCCAGCCGGTGGCGTGGAACATGGGTAGTGTCCAGAGATACTTTGCGCGGCCTGAATGGTAGTTGAGCCCGGATTCAATGATATTGCCCATGGCAGCGAGATAGACGCCGCGATGTGTGTATTCAACCCCCTTTGGTCTGGCCGTGGTCCCACTCGTGTATGCAAGCGCAATAACGTCTTCCTCGTTCTTAGCATGCGATTCCAGGTTCTCCCATCCTTTACCACCCTGCTCTATATCATACTTCAGTCCCTCCAACACCGCATCGTCAAAAGGACCCGAGAGCTCGCCCTCGGTGGCATCCATGTCCGTGTCGACTAGGATTGGTACATCCGGTTTTGCCTTTCTATAATCGTCTAGCAGGCTCACAAATTCCGCATCCGCGATAATCATGTCTACGTCCGAATGTTGGAAAATGTAGCTAATATCATCGGGTTTGAGCCGATAATTGATAGCTACATTTACAGCTCCCGCGGCCGCAATTCCAAATATGCTCTCCAGGAACGCTGGCGTATTGGTTGCCAGTATACCCACTCTCTTATATCCATGTTTCTTCAAGTAGTATGCCAGTCCTCGCGCGCGATCCGCAGCTTCGGCATAAGAACGCCGCAGGATCTGGTTGTTCGCAGTCTTGTGGTATATGGCCAAAGCATCAGGCTCAATCTGTGCAGCGCGCCAGAGAAACCATGTCGGGCTGAGCGTGTGGAAGTTGTTTCTGTGGTGGTATTCGTGGCTATCGCCGGGTTGGATGGGCGGCGGACCGGGTACGGGGTTTGCAGAGGTGAAGTGCGATGCGAGCTGCTTGAGACGGTCTTTGGCACCCTCCATGGTGTATGTCTTGTGTCTAACAACAATCGGGATGAAACAAGCTTTTATACACACACGAGCTACAGGGGCGATCTACAAGCTTGGCCAAGCTGAGCTGAGCTATAGACGCGTGAATGCGGAGTAAGTCCGCTGTGGGTTCAAGTGCGAGAGATATCCGAACTCTTTCGCGCCAGGGTACTGTAGGACTGTGATGACAATCTCAATAACATTCAAAGGGGCACGGTCAGCAAAAAGCAACGTTCAAGTAAATCACAACCGAAGCCCAAAAAAGAGACGTGTTCAGGCAGTGCTGGGCGGGTTAACACGTAGAGTCGTTACCTACGACGCCGGGTTGGGGAAATCTGGGGAAGAGATCCGATGCGGGACGACGTCAGGGCCGAGGTTAAGTGCTAGCTGGCTTGCCATCTTGGCCATTGGCCATCCGGCCATCCTTCCGACCGCGGCAGTTCTGCGTGCACATTGCCTGGCTTGCTTGTGCAAGATGACGGTATGAATTGCACTATTAGTCTGGTCAAATGCATTGTCAAAGGGGACTGAATTGGATTAACAACATAACCGCCAGTCTATTGCGAACGCTCAACGCCATCAACATGCTTTACATCAGCTGTGATTTTTCATTTCGTATTGCTTCTAGCCGGAAGAGTACCTGAAGACACAGCAGACCGACCGCAAAGAGACCCATGAACACGTAAGCACTCTGGTATTGATGTGCTCTTTTAGCCTGGACACCCTTTCGAATGGTCGG